GTTCAAGTGTGCAGACCTTGGCAGGCTTCTTCCCATGGCAGAAAATTACTAGTAAAATGCTTTTAAAAGCTTTTAAAGATACATCCACAAAAGAAAGGGAGTATCCATTACAGAAGATTACAAAGGTTAACTACAACTCCATTGAATCAGGATTCACTGACTCTCAAATCATGGAATAAAGCTGTGCCTATCTGCTCCTGGCAGTGGGTGAGAACATGAAAATATTTCTGGAACAGACTTAGCAGAATCCCAGCTACTGCCTCTTCAATGCCAGCTTCTGGAAAGGCAGTAAATGGCAAATATAGACCATCAAAACCCTTCAACACTGACTGGCAATGTTTCTTTCCATACCAAACACATGTTATTTTTCACTTTGGGCATAAAGAAGAACCATAAAAGAAACAGTCATTCTCACAAAATCCAGTAATAGCTTCAGACATTAATGTCTGAAACACTTAGAGGTACAGACAGCTTCATAATTTATTCTAAATTTTGTCATAATTAAGTCTAACAAGTTGACATTTCCCTTGTATCACAATCCAATCCAAACAAAAAAAGGAAGCATGTCTTTCCATAACTCAATGATTTTTGGCTAAAGCATCAGCTTAAACCAAGGAGAGAAGTGTTTTGGCATCCTGACTGCTCTGATGAATCAACCAGACAGCACAGAATGCACACCCTGGAGTCAGTATTTGAACACAGGCTTACATAAGCACACTCATGTCCTTTTCTTGTGCATTTTTAAAATCAATATAGCACTTTGAATAGAATATGGCCTAGCTCAGTGTTGATAAGTTAAAAAAAAAAAGGAATCTGAACCATTTTTTACTTCAAATTTTGTTATTCTACACTTATGGCCCAACCACAAATGAAAGCATTGCTTGATTCCAAGGTGCATTGAGCACAGCATTCAATTTTTGGTAAAACATGTAGCTTTGATCTGTACAGGAGGTAAAAATTAGGTCCTTGCAGCAAAAGTCTATCCAGAAATCAGCATTGGCATGAGATAGAAGACAAGTACTACATGGCTACACTAAGTGTATCTGTACCTAGAAAGTGTGTAAATCTTAAAGAAATTTTTTTAAAAAAAATTAGTCTATTCTTGTTGCAATTTTGTGACAGTTGCTTTTTTGGTGCCAGACTTCTGGAAGTGAATTATCTTTCAGAATGCTGACAAAAATGGAAAATAAATGGAAATACTGGTGGAGATAAGAATGGGTAAGGATGTGTGTGTGTATCCTGTTTGTTAGTCCTCTTTTAACATGAAACATGCATGCTCACATCCTTTTGGGGACTTTTATTAGCTGTGTACTCAAAATGAAAGTAGCTGTGTTCCAGCCAGGGTAAATGCTCCCTAACAGCTGGATGGGATTACTTTATGCTTTGAAGATATCTGGAATTTATGACAGTTTTATGACAGTGCACATATTTCAGAGGAGCCAGGAGGATTCTCTCCTCTGAAAAATGCAGCACTTGGCTCTGTGCTGTGCAGCAAAGCTAACACACAATGAAATTTCAACTATTTCGTGAAAACTAAAGGTGATTTGCTCCTCTTTTATCTACAAGCTTATCTTGAGAGCAGCTCTGCTCTCTCTCAGGCCAGAGCACAATGAGCTCGGTAACCTGGGTGTGCAACTGTGCCAGCACTGCACAGGCTCAGGGTGGAATTAATTCAGAACCTGCCAGTCCTGCACTGCCTTCTGCACATCACCACCCTCCAAACTGAGCTCCAAGGAGAAATCCTGCCTGCAAACAGCATTCAGGCAGCATGGCAAAAGCTACAATATTCTAAGAGATGAAGTTCATTCAGGTTTTTACACCGGTAAATTCTCTTATTTTCTTTGGCTGTATCAACCTGGTTTTTTTACTGAGGTCTTGAAAAAACATTTGGAACACAGTTAAATATTAACAACTACATTTAAAGGTGACTATTCATTTATTCCCCTCCAAATTTACTTGAATAAATCAAGAAAAGTGTACAATGAAGTAATTTACATGGTTTTTTAACAGGGTTTATTCCACTACAATGGACTGAAATTAAGAGCTTCACCACACTATCACATCTGAATTATTTAGCATTCACAAAGTTTCAAGCTTCTAAAGCAGAAATAAGGACCTAAGACTTTTAATCAAAAGCTTGAAAGCATTTTCTAGAAGGGATTGAAAGCAGGAGTTATTTCTCTTCCATTTCACTTAAGCTGACAAAAACCCCATACCAGTTGTACCAGCCAATTCTGTAGGGCTGTATTCCCCACAAGCATCTTGTGAGTAAAGAAAACTTTATCTCTTTGAAACAGGACAGAATTTGCTGTGGGGTTTTTTTTTGTTGTTGTTTTATTCTCTTTAAAGAAGAGAAATTAATTTTATTAAATAAAATAAATATCAGCAGTATTTTCCCCTGCTGATAAGGAAAATATCAGCAGCTCCACCACACCTGGTGTTTAACAGGCTAAACCACTGGCAGCCCTCCTAAAACTCTGTACACCTTCAAAAAAATTCTAGAAATTAAGATTTGTATCTGGTTACTTGTTTGATTACTATTTTTTAGTATTTATTAGCTATTTTCCACTATCCAGTGTGAAATATAACACCAGAGATAAAAAGCAAAACAATGCCAGGAGCAAACATGTCTCTGTTAGAAAAGGAGCTTTAACTCAAGGTGCATGGCTCCATCTTCCCTGTGAGACACCAACAGCTGAAATAATTTTCTATAAATACTTTACATACATTAATGCATAAAGAGCTACAGCTGTGAGACATCACCTCCAGGTGAGAGGGAGAAAACAAGACCAAAAAAGTGATTATTGTTGGCAGTGGATGAATCAGTTGTGATTTAAACACATCTTGAAAAATACTGGCTAACAGGGCTTTACCTAAGTATTGGTAGTTTAATATGAATAGGACAAAAGTAAGAAAAGAATTATTCTGAAACAAAAAGTTTCTAATCCTTTCTTTTCTTTTGCTTGTTTCCAATGATGGTTACAATCTTCCAGGTAATTTTAGAACTGGTTACAGACTCCATCTACAAGTACCATTCCTTTTGCCTGCCACATTACAGCTAATATTGGATAGAAACTGGTGACTGGATAGAAGGCATCTCCTGCTCTTCCTAGAGGGGGCTGGGATATTTGGGACTTGTGTTCTGAGGGGCTCCTGCAGCAGCTCAGAGACAGGAGCATGTCCCTGCAGCTCAGAAAGCTCGGGCTGGCTCTCACCCAGGTGCTAAAGCAATAAAACAACAGGGGGACAGAGGAAAAGCAGAAGTTCTGATGGTAGGAAATGGTGAGAAAAGGGAGCTGGGGCAGAGTGGGAGATACCTGGAAGAGCTGGAGGTAAAGAGGGTACCCTGTCCATGCTTGGATGGCAGGGAAGGAAGAGGAGCTGAGTACAGGACTGAATGAGGAAGGGAGACATTCATTACCCCAATGCTTGTCTCCTGTTTGGCAGCTTTGAACACACACACAGTTTTAAAATAAAATTAAATGAAGCAGAGATTCATTGAAAATAAAAAAAAAGAAAAAGATCCTTATCTGTTATTGATAACATTGAGATGCCAAAAATCTGGATAAGCACTGTTCACAATGAATACACTGCTGGGTATGCTTAAAACATTAGAATACCACCAACACAGTGTTCAACCAGAACTGAATTTCAGGGGATGCTGAAAATAATCAAATTCTGTACAACAAAGAAATGAAAAATGAGTGTGCCTAAAGCAAAAGCCATTCTTCTCCCAGAACTACTTAATATAACCTCCTGATACTATCTCACAATTTCAATGAAGGCATTGCAGTGGCTCTGCAGATGCTCTGTGCTTTCTCAGCACCATGCTGCAGGTTCTGAAGCAAGCACAGAAAGTCTCAAAAAACTCTCTTTGAGCAGTGTTTATAAAACTCCAGGAATTAGAAGCAGCAATCTGTAGAATCAGAAGTGTATTCTTCAATGTGCACACAACTAGAGAGTGAAAAGTTTGGAATAATTTCTATCACTTTTCCTAACCAGATTAACGAAGCTGTCAAATTCATCTTTCATTTCAAGACAATATGGGAAAATATTTTTGCACTTAGTTTGAGGATTTATAAAGCAATGTAACATCCTGCCTTTTTTAAAACGTGGGGAAGGAGAAAGGCTCTTTCCACAAAGCTGCTTCTCCTCAGAAATAGCACAGCTGAGTATCAGACGTGCACAGGAAGAGGGGGAGGGCTATATCCCAGCCTGTCCATTGTGCTGGAGGAGCACTTTTCCTATGGATGGGCCACCATCCTGTTATGTGGCTCTCAACTTCCTCCTGCATTGTGAGCCTCAAGTCATGGAAAGAGTAAAGTTCTTAAACTGAGGATTGTGTTGGGAACTCCAAACACTTTCAATACAAGTTAACCAAACAAATACATCATGGTCAGACTATTAACATCCTGGTTTAGTTTGCTGAAGCCACTATTCTTTTGAAAAAATAATGTAATCAGGAGAACTCTGGACAGTTATCTTGTTGGTTCTTTTGGCTTCTGATAACATTTGGACCAAGTGAAAAAAAAAAAAAGAAATCTGCAACCACAGTGGAAAGCCAAGTTCAAAATGCAAGACAATGGCACCTTCACAAAACAAACTCCCTAAGAGGCCAAACGGGAGTCAAAGATCCAAAGAAAACCCTGTGATAATTACCTATAAAAAATAAATCTCTGAAATCTGAGAAATGGTACTCTAGCAGCATTTGGGAAACAGTCACTTAAACATTCAGTTGATAAAGTTTCAGCTCCAGTTTCACAAGTGGAGGGCTGATTTCAAGTGCCTCAGAGGGAGGGCAGCTGCCCCTCAGGCCAAGCTGTGGAGCAGTGACTGAGGAGCTGCTGCTGGAGCAGCCCTGGGATGGAGCCCCTGTGCCCAGGGAGGGCACAGCACATGCCAGGGCACTCAGCCCATGCAGCCAGGTGTGGAGCAGCCTGGCTGGTGCCACGGGCAGGCTCCACTGCCTGCAGCCACTGCACACCCAGCTCTGCAGGTACCTGGTAGCCCTCTGTTTTCTTCTGGCACCACTTCAGCAGGGCGTTCCTCTTGGAGCCTCCATATTCTCTTGCCAGGGCAGACAAGGGATCTTTCCTCTCTTCCCTAGGAACAAGGCCAGAAAAGCTTGTAACACAACAGAAATAGGTATTTATAAAGGCTCAAATAGAAGGAGAAATTCTTGGCACACTGGAAGAAGCAGGATACAGCACTTATGACTGAAAAACAGAACACACAGGAATACCTGCAAAAGACTTTTGAGTTAGTTTGAAGTAATTCTTTCATTAGCAAGTCATCCTTCTTTTTCCTTTAAGCTTTTTTACTAGATCTTTCCACCTCAATGATATTTCTTTCTAAGAGTTAGAAAAATTAAACTCACAACATATTAAGTTGCAGCCTGAACCATTAAGCTAACTCAAGTGACTTTATTTCTTATTTAGAAAGGATATAAACTGATGCTATCTCTTTTGCATCTCATGGCTGATTACAAATGTCACCTTGAAACAACAAGTTTGCATTTGAGCAGCACGGTGTTATTAACAGAACATTTGCCTGAGACCTGGAGTTCTCAAAAAAGAAGGGGGAGATCTATGTAGGCTGATCTGCCATTTGATGTATTAGCACAATAAAAGCAGTCAATTAATTTCAATTCTAGTTTGTCAAGCTATCTTAAGTAATTTTTTCCTCAAGAAAAGTTTGAGGAAGAAAAGAACAACCTAACTAAGTTGGCCATTTTTTCATGAGCTTTACATTACAAGCATCTCTTTACCAGGATTCAGAAAAGAATTCTTAGATTAAAAAAAGTATATATTATAAAGGCTAATAATTTAGTGGTCTGGTTATATGACTCAGTATTTCTATAGATATTATAATGAACAGTCTTTGACAAAAAGAGCAAGTACAACACCATTGTGGATATTAGTTACCACACAGGAAGTGTGACAGCAATTGTTCTTGTTTTTAATAATCTCCATTTGGAAAATTAAAATAAGATAGATGTCAGTGAACTGCAAACACTTCCCCATCTGCCATTTTTAAAGAGTTTTATCAGTGTGCTGGTTTGAAAAGGAAGTAAATTTTTTGGGATGCTGTGGTCAAACTAATAGGTGCTCAGATTTGAATAAGCAAAGTTTTCACAAAATAGACAGAAATTATAGCCTAAGCTATTCTTTCTGAATATTTCCCAAGACATAGGGATTGTATACATTCATTCTCAAATCTTCAACTCTTTGTTCTTTACAGCCCATATGGTGACTGGAGAGAGGGGTGGAATGTGGAAGTAAATAATAGCACCAGTGGATTCTGTGCTGCAGATTTCAGGTAGCAACTCTGCAGCTCCTGCTAAGGGAAAGAAAGCATCCATGGAATGTGAAAATCTTCCTGTGTGCCTGCTCTAAACAGAACACCAGAGACTGCTCCATGCACCAACATCTCCTGGTCAATGCACAAATGAGAACATGGCCCAACAGACAAGGAAATGTTTTAAGGCACTAATCTCAAGTACATGTATTGCATTTTCTTGGCCAGCCTTCACTGACATATGGATGGGCAGGATCTCAATGTTACTTAGAGATAACAGCTGAAATATCCATGAAAATTTATGCCCAGCAGGACAGTAAACAGAAAACAGTAACTGCTATCTTTGATGCTGAGCCTTCAAACCTAACTGCTCATCTTGATTTAACACGAAAAGGAAGTCAATAATTGCATATTTAAAATGTGAAATAAATTATCTGAACAAGTCACTGTACTTAAACTTCATAGGCACCACACTGGCAGTATGATGCTTCAAGAAATTCTGTACTTCAATCAGTACAAATATCAACAACTTACACTGGTGATTTTCTCCTTTGGTGACTGAAACAAGTAACAATGGGATTGCATATTCAATCTATAATGAGGGTTATGCAACACTTTGAGAACTGAAGAACAGAGATCTGGGGCAACAATAGAACTCAAATAAAAATATCCCTCTCTCTTTATGCTAAACATACTGTTTAGCCATGAGGGAGCTGTACAGCCTGTTCTCAAATTCCAGCAAGAGCACATGGTTTATATCAGGTTCTCACAGCTATGAAAACACTGCTGAAGAAAATAAATCAGCATTAAGTTGTATGGAGACAATGAGAAATGGTTTGACAGACAAATCTTACATGTTCACATATTAGGTCAACTGCATTCCAAATCAGAGAGCCAATGAAGTTTCACCTAGAACAGGGCACTGCAGGTATTTGTTCTAGTGAACTACACCAATAACAGTTTATTTTCCAGTAACTTTCAGAAACAGGTAGGGGAAAACAGAGAAATCTGCTCATGTAACAAACCAGAGTGTCTGCAAAGGCCACACTCATCACCACACACCCACTGCTCACAGCCCATGAAGTCTCCTGTAGCACTGAGCACTGCAGGCAATGGCTGGGAGCACAGGAATGATTTCATAATTACAACTGTCCAGTTTCACCCTGGAATGCCACACTGCCTGCTCCAGTCTGCAGACTGACACCAACACAACTCAATGTTACCAGTTCAAAGTTCATACACAGGTGTTTAAAACTTATTTCTGAATGTATTCAGTTTAAATTTAGGTGTTAACATACACATTAATTGCTAGTACTAAAGTTCCCACAATTAAACTCAGTTTAATTTGTGCACAATATAAGGAGGGTGGCACTGAGGCCTGTCTCAGCTGATTTCAGAAAAATCACTTTCAAAAGCACCAACAGCTGTAAATATCTTAGACTTTTATATATATTGCAAGTGTCTCTGAATATTAAGAGTTTAACATTTCTGCTGTACAAAAGTTTTGTCAGGAAGCTCTGTGAGAAATGGTCTTGACAGAGTTATTTATCCTTTGTCTGCAAATTCCCCAATCTATGAAGCAGAGCTGAGGACATACCTCACTTGGATAACATGAGGATTAAATACTTTGAAGCCCTCTGACTGATAACACACCAGAGAGGAAAAGTTTTAAATTTACCACAGACTTATCTTTTGTCTTACCAATCAAAGGAGGTTGTCTGGCCATTTGTTGCTCAGACTTACACTATGACTCCATCTGTGGGACCAAAAAACCCAGGCTCACTCACTCATGGTCATTAAAAAGACCTGTCAGTGTCTGGGATTAAGATCTGGGCACGCTGCTTTTTGTCTTCAGCTGGGATTACAGAAATTAAGGTTTATCATGGTGTCCCTGCGTCCAAGCCAGTCTGCATGATCTGCTCCATGTGCTGCAAGCTCCCTTCCTGAATTTGGCTCTGTGCTGTTTTGAACTGCTATTATTATTTAGTGACATGACTTAGCTTGCTTTTCTGGGGGAGTACAAAGTCTGGTATTAACTCATAAGCTTTAAAAAGCTTAACTTTCAGTCTAACTTTTAAAACAAATACTCAGCTGCAGAAAAACCTTTCTGAAGCTCTCACAGATTACTGAAGATCATTAGTGTGTGGGGTCTGCAGTCTCAGTACCAATATCATATACTAGAGGCATGCAGGCAGACAGCTGTGGAATTACCCCCAATAAGGGGGTTAATTAATTAATTACCTTATTCTGCTTCTGGTTGTAGGGGTGACAGATGCTGTAGGAGAAGATGAGAGGGACAGCTGTGGGGAGGTGGTGCCCATTGCCATGAGAGATGCTGGGGATGCTCCATCAGGGGCACTGATGTCCCTCTTGATTTCCTCACTGCTTCTTCGAGACACTGAGGGGGAATTGCCCAGGCATTTATCATTTGCAAACACAAACACTTCCCAACTTGCTCTCAGACAAGCATTTGTTCAGAAATCAAGCACAGAAACCTGTATGTAATAGTAGGTGTCAATATTCTTCTTGATGCTTTCCACTCTGGGAATATGAAGGATTCAGACTGCACTAGAAACATTTATGATCAAGCCTTCATTCTGAAGCAAAGAAAGTTTGATGGATGTATCTTAATGGAATATGACTACTCCCATTTGAAGGATTTAATGAATAAGAAGGAATTTTAACATCAAAACATTTATTTTCCTCTAGTCCATATAATTACACTGTGAAGCTTCAAGTAGTTAAGGAAAAAGAAAACCAAATCAGTTTAGAGATGACAGCTGTTTTATTTCCATTTAATTTTAATGAAGAATTGGCATGTATGTGATGCTCTGGACATTAATTAAATATCATCAACAAGAATATCAAATGTTGACCTGAGATCAGTCAGCCACATTCCACAGAGCTTGCTTCATTTTATCAAAGGAAATAGTTTTTGTTTCAAATGAAAGCACAAGCATTGTACTCTGTAAAACCAAATTTGGAATTGTTACATGTTCTATACATGGAAGAGTTTCCAGTTAAAAGTATGATGTTTGTCTTTATACTTAAATAATCACCATTGTTCATGTCTGTGCAAATCAAGGATTCAACTCTCTACATAAACCAGGGACTTCTTTTCTAATGACCTGGGGGCAAGTATACTAATTTATAAATACCAGACACAAGAAGTTTGGGTTCTTATACAAACAAAAACTATCTAAAACTTGTAAGCACTTACTCAAATATAGAGGTTTTAAAAAATATTGATTTAAAATCAATTCTGCTGGGATTTTACAGAGCATCTTTTTCACAGTATTACACTATTTGTGCTATAATTCATAAATATTTGGTTTTAGAAGTATCATTTTGCTGATACTGAGACATCAGTATCACAGCTTGATAGTAAACTAACACTCTGCATAAATTTATATTTATAGCAAGTCTGGCTTTTTGAAAATCCAAACTTAACATCAAATGTCCAGCACTGCTGAAGAATATTTGTGGGTTATGGCAGTCACAAAGCAGACCCATAAGTACATGACTGAAATGAGAGTTGCCCATTTTCCTGAGCACCTGAAAGCTGTGGTGTTACCTGAAATGGATTTGGCACTTTCCATGGCAGGGACCCTGGGCAGAGACGCCGGGCGGCTGGTGGAGGATGTTCTCAGCAAATGCTCTGCACAGAGAGAAA